CATTGTCTAGCATCAGAGGAAGCAATGCATAGCTTACTAGCGTGGAATATTATTGAGACACTTTATTGAAAAGATCCACTGTGATTCAAACCCCCCCCACTTCTAGACTTTGTAGTATCGAAGGTGATACAGTTATCACCTCTGGGTTTTTTTTAAGCAACTACCTTCAGTTTTGTTATACAGGCAGTCCCTGGGTTACGTACAAGATAGGGACTGTAGGTTTGTTCTTAAGTTGAATCTGTATGTAAGTCGGAACTGGTGTCCAGACTGATCAGTTTCAGCAGCGGCTGAATCTGGACGCCAGTTCCGACTTACATACAGATTCAACTTAAGAACAAACCTACAGTCCCTATCTTGTACGTAACCCGGGGACTGCCTGTATAAAACTTTAATAGATAATACATAAGCAGTGTGTCTTAACATCTGTCTTGTGTATGATTTGATGGACCAATCAAGACTATAAAAGAAAAACCATATACTTTACTAACATCTATGAAAAGTCCCCTCTGCAGGAATTTTAATTGCTAGGAGGATTCTATTAGAGTTTTAATGTGTTGGGGATATCAGTTTCCAAAACGGGACTTTGTAGCCACAAAAGACACAATGAGCACGACTTTGGGAGTTGAGTTAGTTTCATGTAGAGTCATGGGATGTGGTAGAGTCACTGGACCATGCACCTCCATCCGCAGCCAGATGTGACTCTCAGCAAGCAGGTAGAATAGAAGGTTTATTGATTCATAGGGACACAGCATAGTACAGGATCATTGTTACTACAGGAACCAAGAGCATTCAGTGCCTTTTCTTTTGGGGAGAAGGGACCCTACCCAATGAGTCATGCTCAGCCTCCCCTTCCTCGTCCAGTTACAGTGTCCAGGGAAAGTGAGTGTAGCCAGGCAGCCCCCCCCATCTCAAACAATCTTGCTTGCCCTCTGAGATGTCTGTATACAGAGCAGAGAAGGAACAATGAGAAGATCAGCATAGCCATTAAGCTTTGATCTGCTTTGACCAGGATATGCGAGTTTCTGACTCTGAGTAACGATTAAGGAAATAAGCTAAGCTCGAGGCTGCAAGAAGTGTCAGGCTGTCACCTATGTTGATTCGAACACACACAGTCCCTGGGAGAGGAATTTCCCTGCTTTGACCAGGATATGCGAGTTTCTGACTCTGAGTAACGATTAAGGAAATAAGCTAAGCTCGAGGCTGCAAGAAGTGTCAGGCTGGCACCTATGTTGATTCGAACACACACAGTCCCTGGGAGAGGAATTTCCCACTGAGAAAAAAAACAACCTGGACATTGTAATCAAACCAGCTGACAAAGGGGGTGCTGTGGCCA